GTAGCTAGGGATGCCATTATCCCAATAATCTTTTGCACTAATCAGTATTGGGTTCGTCTTCTTCACCTTCGTCGACCAACCTTCTATCGATCTTCAATCAACCTTCATCCCATTGCAACCCTCCTCTTGAGTTCTCAAAATTTGTCTCTGAAAACCGATGGATATGAAAAATTTGGGCTTTCATTCTCAACATATTGATTCAGTGTCCTACATTTTCCCTCCATTGTAATTATGCCTCCGTGGATTTTTGTTTTATTTTATTGTAATATTTTAATCATTTTCTTTGCCACGTCCAAACTTTGCAATGCCAAGTCAGCGGAAAACGGACTTAAGCTCATCACGTGTCGAACACATGACACATCCGGCAAGAATTTTAACGTTTGGGTGCGAGAATGACTGAAATTAAGTTGGCTTTTTAAATTACAGGACTAAATAGCACAAAGTCTAGATCAGAGGACTAAAATTGCGACACGCTCAAAGCAGCAGGACAAAATTGTAATTTTCCCCATATTTTTTAACATGTGCCATTTATTCAAAATGCCAACTTGGTAGTGTAGGTTTATATGGGAAGATGAATTATAGTCATAAACANAAAATATGGTCCCAACATAGTACATCTATTTTGAAAGAGTCGGCATGCCAAATTACAATGCTGTGCAGGTAATGTTAAATTTGGTTTTTGCTTCAAAGTGAAATTATACGGTAGTAGTTCAACAATCACCCACCTTGTCTATCTCCATTTCACACAATATCCACTGTGGGTTTGAAGAAATTCAATAATACACTGATTATGACCTCAAACTTATGGATTCCATCTGTTACTCAGCTATAAATACCCTGATTTCATTGGTTGAATCCATAAACCATAATCTAAGCTGTAAGTAAAACAGGCTTAAATATATTCTTATATATCGAAAATGTCCACCACAATATCCATGCTCTTAGTCGTTATCGCTCTTTTTGCTATCGTGTCCTTGCCAGCAAATGCGTATGATTCCGAACCGTTACAGGATTTCTGTGTTGGTGTCAACGACTCCGAGGCTAGCGGTAACTGTTTTTACCACAAGTTATTAATCCTTCAATTTCTTAAATTTACATGTGTAAGATGAAAAATAGCTACGTGACGCGCGTTGTTATATTTACGTGCTGAAAATTAGCATATTATAGTGTGTCGATACCTCTTTTGGCCATTTGGAAGTAAAACAACACGATTATAGTTACTTTCTAGTTTCTACAGAAATTGTGCATAACCATTTTGATTCATGAAATTGGCTACAAATTGTGCATAACCAATTTATTTATTTATTTATTTATTTTTTTTTTTATCTAATAACGACATATACTTAACAACAAAGACATAAAATTGTAATTTTGAAATTAAAAAAATAAGGTTGTAATAAAAAAAATACATACCCTTCAATCTTCATTTTTATTAGAATTGAGCTTGACGTTCTTTCAAGTCACGAAACACATCAATGATTGACGACTCGATACTAATAGATCTTGCAATTTCCCTTTTGATGAAGATAGTCAAAGATTTTAGAAGAAAGGTATAGGCAATTCCTCTTTTACCTTCCTCAATCTCGTCTTTTTTTTTAAAAAAAAATGAGTCAATTCTTGATGACTTCCCCAAATCCTCAAAATAAAATAAAAATAATAAATATTAATATTAAAAAGGTATAGACAATTCTAGATACAATTAAGTGATTAAAAAAAAAAATAACAGATTGGCAAAGACATAGAGCAATAGGAATTAGGATATATATATTTAGTTGGGAGTAACAAGTACACAAATATCTTTATAATTCATAAATAAAAACCTACTATAAATTTTCAAAGATGGCCAAAACACTTCCCCTATTTGGACCACTATATACGAGGGAGCCTGGGAGGACTCCACAATTTTTTTTTACAAAAAATCAAACTTAATGCAAACTACTTAATTAACAATCATTTAATTACTTTTTTTAATACACACACACATATATATATATATATATATATATATATATATATATATTGAATGAGGCTCAAAGAGAAGAGGAATTGGGGAAATCTTATACATTCAACTTGATTAAAACTTAAATGCTCAAAAGGAACAACTCGATAATATCATAAATAAAGATATAAACAAAAGTACATACGAATGTAATTATCCAATCGGAAGAAGATGAATGCTCAAAATTTTTTTCCGATTTGTTTGCTCAGTGCTCGTCGAGTCGTCTTGTCTTCCTCTCACAATTTTCTCAATTTTTGGTGGCCGACAAGAAGTCCCAACTTCTTTTACGTACTTCAAATCATTTATTTAATAGTTTAAAGAACAATTAACTAACTTAATTTTATTATACTATATATTTTATATGCCTTTTAAAGGAAAAGTTGGAGAAGTGAAATGGTGCGCCTCAAAAAGTGATTATGTTTCTAACTTTCAATTTAATATATCATTTACTTTAATTTATATTTTTAGGGGGCAAAATAATTAAACATAATATTATACATTATATATACAAAGTACTAAAAAAAATGTTTGGGGGACCATGGCCCCCCTACCATATATGTAGTACCTAGGTCCACTCTCTTATGGAACACTTCATTTGCGTGGAACCGCACCCTCTTGCCCGATTCTCTAAATCATCCAAAATCATTCTATAGGATCCACATACAAATACAATACATAGCATTAACAACTTTTCTATTGTTGAGACAGTATTCGTGAACGGGAAGATATGCAAGGACCCGAACACAGTAACCTCAGACGACTTCTACTTCTCGGGCCTCAACAAGGCCGGCAACATAACGAGCCCGTTCGGAACCAAAGTCACGATCGTATTCGTGAACCAACTCCCGGGCCTCAACACGCTCGGCATCTCTATGGTTCGAATCGACTTTGCCCCAAGCGGTGCAAATCCTCCCCATGTGCACCCTCACGCCTCTGAGATTCTCTTAGTCTTGGAAGGCACGCTTTACGCGGGCTTCATATCATCGAACCCAGCAAACCCAAATGACGAGAATAGACTTTACACAAAGATTCTTCATCCGGGGGACGTTTTCTTGTTCCCCAAGGGGCTTATTCATTTCCAGTACAATCTCGGGAGCAAGAATGCGGTTGCGATTGCGGCATTGAGCAGCCAGAACCCGGGAGTTGTGACCTTGTCTAAGGCCGTGTTTGGGTCAGAGCCCTCTGTTTTGCCCGACCTTCTCACGAGATCGTTTCAGCTCGACAGTAAGACAATTAACCGTCTCCTTTCGTTGCAGTGGATTGGGAATGCCTAATCGAGATTGTCTATCGTTCGAGGGTTAATAAGATTTGTGGCTTCTTTTTTTTTAGTCCGGTGTGAAGCAATATTTACGTTGTATGAATAAATGTTGGTTTAGGCCAAAGGATCCCCTTTGGTCTTGTATTGTCGTGTGATCTAGTTTTTTTATTTTTATTTTTATTTTTGTTTCTTATATCGCGTTTTGGTATTTATACCACTGAATCTCTGGTATTTTTAATAAACGATATTTACCGATTTGCGACGTGCTACTTTTGTATGTATGGGGCTAGAGTTCCTTTTAACTTTTTTGTTGCGCATTTAGTTTTTCGTGAGTTTATGAGAGCATCCACAATGCTTTGGGTCTCTTGATAAAAAATCACATGCCATATAAGAAATAGACCTAGTCTATAAATAAATGCTTCCCAATGCAATTAAAAGTGGACATGGTCTAGCTTAGGTGACAATAAAAAAAAGAGACTAAGTCCACACTTGGGTCTATTTTGGACTCAAGTACCAACCCAAACACTAATCATTTATTCCTACTTTAATTTTTCTTTTAATAAAAAAACATATTAGATCATTTTTATTGGTTGACATATATGTTAGACCTAGTATTTTTATTTTTGCATTGCAAAATTATTGAAGTTTTTTACTTGAGTTTGTCCACATCATTTAAGACTCATGTCCAATTATATGTCACATATACAAAAAGAGACCCAAAGCATTGTGGGTGCTCTGAATAACAAAATGATCAAATATGAGCTTATGTGTGTTTTTGTGTCAGCAAATTGCCTTTGCTACTACTCTTTTGACTCGTTTCCTTTAAGTTAATACAGGTGCCTGCTAGATTATTAACTTTTTGTCCAATGTGCGATTTTGCAATGCTAATGAATTTCTTGGAAAAATCACCCGTAAAGCCAACAAATGGCTATTCTTGGTATATTACGATCAATTTGTTAAATTTTATGAATTCTACCACTTATCCATGGCCTAAAGTTGAGAAATGGTTGACACTGTAAAGGTCTAATGAAATCGGAAGCTCTGCTTTTGTTCTGTTTTCTTAGGTAGGAATCGTGTTATCTGGATTAAAAAAATATATATAAGTTTTTATTTTGAATTTTCAAATATTGTTATTTAAAAGAAATGCGTGAGATTCGTCTTATATTACATAATATTATAAATTATACCATATAATAAGATTGATAGATTAATATTAATACATAAATATATATTTTCTTTCATACATAATATATATATATAGGGGATGGATCCAATGAGACCACTCCTTAAAATGAGTACGTGAGACTCAATCTTAGCCACTCATTTTGTCTAGATCAAAATCAATTAAAATATACATTAATTAAATAATAAAATAATTATCAGTTGACTCCGGTGTTGACCGTTGACTTCCGGCGTTGACTTCCGGCGAGAATCGTTGACTTCCGGCGTTGACCCGTTGTATTGAAATAAATAACCTAGCAACAAAAGACACTCAACCTTGAGTGGTGTAGTGGTTGTATTGCTTCTCTTGCCTCCATGAGGTACCAGGTCCAAATCTTATGGGTTACAATTTTTTTATAAAAAAAAATACAACTAACTTAGCAAAATCAGACAACTAACCTAGCAACAAAACACTACTAACTTAGGTTCAAATCTTATGGGTTACAATTTTTTTATAAAAAAAAAATACAACTAACTTAGCAACATCAGACAATTAACCTAGCAACAAAACACAACTAACTTAGCAGCATCAGACAACTAACCTAGCAACTAGCAACAAAACACAACTAACTTAGCAGCATCAGACAACTAACCTAGCAACAAAACACAACTAACCTAGCAGCAAGAAAGAACAACTAAACTAGCAACAAAGACAACTAAGCAAGAAAGAACGACTAAACTAGCAACAAAGACAACTAACCTAGCAACAAAACATACCTAGCAACAAAACACAACTAACCTAGTAGCAAGAAAGAAATAACCTAACTAAGCTAGCAGCAAGAAAAAACAACTAAACTAGCAACAAAGACAACTAATCTAGCAACAAAACACAACTAACCTAGCAGTAAGAAAGAAATAACCTAGCAACAAAAGACAACTAACATAGCAACAAAAGACAACCTAGCAACAAAAGACAACTAACCTAGCAGCGAGAAAGAAATAACATAACCTAACAATAAAAGACAACTAACCTAGTTAGAAAGAACAACTAAACTAGCAACAAAGACAACTAACCTAGCAACAAAAACACAACTAACCTAGCAGCAAGAAAGAAATAACCTAGCAACAAAAGACAACTAACCTAGCAGCGAGAAAGAAATAACATAACCTAACAATAAAAGACAACTAACCTAGCAGCAAGAAAGCAGCGAGAAAGAAATAACATAACCTAACAATGCAGCGAGGAGATTGGGCAGACTCACGGCCCGAGACTGGACAGGCTGCATGCCACCGCATCTCTACATGGTGGCCCCACCACCGCCTGTTCGGCCTCCTCGGGCCAGAGCTGTTGTTTGGCTTCGACCTGACTCTCCGTGGGTCAAGCTGAACACTGATGGATCCTTTGACCGCCACACTGGAGTTGCCGGAGGAGGAGGCTTGATTCGGGACCATAGCGGCGCCCTCATCACCGCCTTCCACGCGTCCATTCAGGCCTCCTCGAGCTACGACGCAGAGATTCAGGCAGTACAGATTGGCCTTCAGATCGTTGTCCACCTCTCTAGTCATATATGGATCGAGCTGGATGCTGTAGCTGTCGCCACCCTCCTGACTTCGGGACATCAGGGCTCGTGGCAGATTCAGCACCCGCTTATGCGCATTAGAGATCTACTTCAGTCAGTCGATCACAGGATCACGCACATTTTCCGTGAGGGGAACAGACCTGCTGACTACCTGGCCAGCCTTGGCGCCACCACACCAGACACACATACATTTCAGACCGACGCTGCTCCATTACGCCTTCGCACTCTTGTACGGATGGATCAGCTTGGATATCCAGCGTTCCGCTTTCACTAGTTTAGGATTTCTATTGTCATTAGTATAGACATTTTTTCGAGCATCTGTTAGCCCGAAGATCGACTTTGTTTTGTAGTTTCTTTTCCTTTTTCATTTTTTGGCTTTTCTTTTTTGTTTTTTCTTTTGGTTTTGTCTTTGATTGTCAGACTCTGTAGACTTTTGTATCTTGTTCGTTGATATTTTGGGCTCCCGATTTTGGGGCCCTGATCTATGCACAGGTTAGGGATCCAGCCCAATCCCCCGCCCTTCCGGGGCGTTGTTTGTTTAAAAAAAAAAAAAAAAAAAACTAGCAGCAAGAAAGAAATAATCTAGCAACGAAAGACAACTAACCTAGCAGCATCAGACAACTAACCTAGCAGTAAGAAAGAACTAACCTAGCAACAAAAGACAATTAACCTAGCAACTACAGATAACTAACCTAGCAGCAAGAAAGAAATAA